GATATTGTATTTTTTAGCTCCACAATTTGTTTAGTTTCTTTTTATAATTACTAACTCTTTGTTAATATCATTTTTTTCTGATTTCCTTTAGTTCTTTATTCATGTTTTTCTTTAGATCTTTTAACATGTTTATGATGGTTGTTTTAAAGTCTTCGTTTAATACATTTGATGCCCTGCTTCTTTAGGGCTGGTTCTGCCACTTCACTTCCTTCCTTGAATGGGCCACGATTTCCTGTTTCTTTGAAGTGCTTATGATTTATTCTTGGAAGTTGGTCATTGAAAAAAAACAGACATCTCTCCCAGTCTTTGAATATACTTTCTCTGTGCCTGTGCACACCTTCACTGCTTAACTGGGTGTTCTCTGAACCTCGGGATCAGCCTGAGATGAAAGCTTAAGGTCTTCTCAGATCTTTCCTGAGCATATGTCTTGCCTGCGCCTGCTTGTGACTTTCAGAACTCCCCTTTATATATGGCTGCTTTTGAATGTCTTAATTTCCAAGGTGGTCTCACCCCAGGTTGTCGCTAGAGCCTTAGGTGGTCTATTGCATGTCTCCATCTGTAATCTCCTGCCCCAAGTGTCTGTAGTCCCCTTGCAGCTTTCACAAGTAGCAGCTGCCACTTGATACCTGAGTTAGATGAGACGGAGACCAGGCCTTCAGGTAGCCCTCTGACAGACAGGATAGAACATTACATACTGCAGATAGGATCTTCTCTGCTCCCTACAGACGGTGGGAGGAAAATGGGCTACTGCTGGCTCTAGACCAAAACTGCCATGCTATATACCCTGAGAAAAACCATAATTCAACAAACATACATGTACCACAGTGTTCACTGCAGCACTATTTACGAGAGCCAGGACATGGAAGCAACCTAAATGTCCATCAACAGATGACTGGATAAAGATGATGTGGCACATATATACAATGGAATATTACTCAGCCATAAAAAAAAGAACGAAATTGAGTTAGTAATTTGTAGTGAGGTAGATGGAGCTAGAGTCTGTCATGCAAAGTTAGTCAGAAAGAGAAAACAAATACTGTATGCTAACGCATATACATGGAATCTAAAAAAATGGTACTGATGAACCTAGGGGCAGGAATAAAGACACAGAGAACAGACTTGAGGACACGGCAGGGGGGGGGGGGGGGCGGCGGAACGGACTTGAGGACACGTGGGGGAGGGGAAGCTGGGCCGAAGTGAGAGAGTGGCATGCACATATATACACTACCAAATGTAAAATGATGGCCAGTGGGAAGCTGTTGCATAGCACAAGGAGATCAGCTCGACGCTTTGTGACGACCTAGAGGGGTGGGGTAGGGAGGGTGGGAGGGAGGGGCTATGGGGACATATGTATGCATATGGCTGATTCACTCTGTTGTATAGCAGAAACTAACACAACATTGTAAAGCAATTATACTCCGATAAAGATGGGGGGCAAAAAACTGCCATGCTGGGGAAGGATGAATTTTCCTACTGTTTTGAAGGTAGATTTTTCTTTTTTTTTTTTTTTAACATCTTTATTGGGGTATAATTGCTTTACAGTGGTGTGTTAGTTTCTGCTTTATAACAGAGTGAATCAGTTATACATATACATATGTTCCCATATCTCTAGATTTTTCTTTATTGGGCACTTGCTAGGTTGCTGTAGACCTTTGACTTTTTCAGAATTGCTATAAGATTAGTTCAGCCAGTTTCCAGCTGCTTTTTGATGTTTCTGTGTGTGAATGAGGACTTAGAGCTACCTGGTCTGCCATTTTGCTGATGTCTTTTGACCACAACTGGGAATTCTTGAAGGAGTCACATGTCTCCGGGAGCCCTATTTCTTCCACTCTCATTTGTTTCTCGACTCATTGCTGGTTTGACTTCAGTGCCAACTGCCACACTGAAACCGCCCTTCACAGGGTCACCAGTGCAGCCTGTAAGTCAAGTTCCACTGGGTACTGCCAATTCTTACTCTATCTTGTTTGTTCTTTTTGACACATTTTGATACTACTGACCCTTTTTCCTTTCTGGAAACTCCTTTGCTGGTCTCTGTGAATACATTTTCTAAGTTCTTTTTTTTCTCCTTTCCTGCAGTTTGATTCCTTTTTTTCCTCCTCTTCCTGCAGTGTCCCTCAGGGTTCTGCCCTAAGCCTTTTCATCTCATGCTTTCCCTCCCCTTGGGTTATACTACCTATGACTCCTAGCCACCACTGGTCTACTAATGACTTTCAAATGGATAGTGTTTAGCACAGCTCTCTTTTAAGTCACAGATCTATATATCCACCTGCTTAATGAACATATATATTTGGGTATTTCACAAACATCTCATACAAAACATCTTCAAAACAAATTCTTATCTTTATGTTCAGTCCATAAACCCGAGACTCATCTTAGCTCCCTTCCTGTCTGTTATCCCTGTCAAGGCACCACTGAAGCCATGTGAATCATACCTTTCATAGAATCTCCTCTCCATTTCCATTGCCCAGTGCCTTCATTTTGATCAGCAAAATTTGTTACCTAGATTACTTTCTCCAGTCTATTCACTTTCCAATTCAATTACTGTACTGCTGACAGAATAATCTTTTTGAAGAGTGACTCTGATGGTGACACTCCCACTTAAAAACCTTTCTAGGTGCCTCCCCTCCCCCACCCCAACAAAGTGGCATTCATAAGAAAATCCAAACTCCTCAGACAGCATACAATATTTCTCATGATCTGGCACATGTTTTACAGCCACATTTATAATTCTACCTCTCATATAATTCTCCTGCAAACATTCCAGGGCTGTTTTTGCCATCATTCTTTCACATACGCTTTTATGGAACACATTCCCTACCCAAGACAGGTGCCTCATAAATGTATGTTGGATTAAAAGAAGTTGAATTATTACATGAAGCCAGGTTGTTAGAACTGAGAGGGTGGTCTTAGTCTAAGTAGAACTAAAACCAGCATGGTTTTCAAAGACTTCAAAGAGGTAGGAAGATGAAGGAATAGATCCTTGAATGACACTCTTCCAAAAGGATTTTCTTGTCAGAAACTATTATCATTTTCATTCTTACAGGAGTGGAATATGGAGGTTTGGTGGGCATCTATAGTTTGAATCACATCCCAACAATATATCACCAATGCAAAAATATTAAAAGGGGGGCTTCCCTGGTGGTGCAGTGGTTAAGAATCCGCCTGCCAATGCAGGGGACACGGGTTCGAGCCCCGGTCTGGGAAGATCCCACATGCCGCGAAGCAGCTAAGCCCGTGTGCCACAACTACTGAGCCTGAGCTCTAGAGCCCACATGCCACAACTACTGAGCCCGCATGCCTAGAGCCCATGCTCCGCAATGAGAAGCCACCGCCATGAGAAGCCTGTGCGCCACGATGAAGAGTAGCCCCAGCTCGCCGCAACTAGAGAAAGCCTGAGCACAGCAACAAAGACCCAAAGCAGCCAAAAATAAAATAAATGGATAAAAAATTATATTAAAAGGATTTTGAGATCAAGCAGTTTCCTGTAATATGTAATGCCTCAAGCCTTGCTACTCTTTAAAGTGTGGTCCATGGACCAATAACACTGGCATTACCTGAGAGCTTTTAGAAATTCAGCATGGATGAATTAATTAAGATGGGTGAACAGAGTGAGAAATTCAACAAAGTGATGATAGAAAATATTAAAAAGTACCAAACAGAAGTCACAGAGCTGAAGAACACATTAACTGAACACTGTTAAGGTGTTCAACAACAGACTACATGAAGCAAACAAAGGCTCAGTGAATTAGAAGTCAGGGCAGTGGAACTCACCTAATCAGAGAAGGAAAAAAAGTGATGCTAGATTAAAGGGCTTGCATTATATAGGTCCCAGAAGGAAAAGAAAGTGAGAAAGGGGCAGAAATCTTGTTTGAAGAAATACTGAAAGATTCCCTAACCTGGGGAAGGAACTAGACACCCAGCTCCAGGAAGCCCATAGGGTTCCAAATAAGATGAACACAAAGAGATCAGAAATAATCCCACATATATACAGTCAAAAAGAATGAAATCTTGCCATTTGCGACAACATGAATGGACCTCAAGGGCATTATGCTAAGTTAGAGAAGTCATACAGAGAGAGACAAATACCATATGATCTCTCTTATACGTGGAATTTTTTTTTTTTTTTAAAAGGGAGCTCATAGATACAGAGAACAGATTGGTGTTGCCAGAGGCGGGGGTGGGGTGTGGGAATAATGGGTGAAGGGCTCAAAGACTAAAAAAATATTAAATGTTACACAAAACAGGATTGCCGCTTACAATTTTAAGGGTCAACAGCTCCCCTGTGGACACCTAGGAGTCCAGATACTCCCAAGTTTAAGAGCCCTTGTTCTAAAGTGACCTCCAAGGGATGTCTGTCCCTTTACCCTACTCAAATAGCAGATGTTTCGTATTTTACAGACACCATCGTTGGTGGCGGTTTTTGCCACGATGGTCTGGCTCTGCCAGCCCTGGGGAGAACTTAACCACCTCCACGAGCATGGACTAACTATACACACCTAAGTCTACCTTTGTTCAGCCACCTTGGTTTAACCTGGAGAAAATGAAACCAAAGAAAGGAAAGAAATCATGGACTTGGTTACTTGGACGAATTTAGCAAGAAAACAATAAACCAAATTACCCTCTGGAGTGAAGGAAGCGGGGCTTATTTAGAGGTGTTCAACTCTAAAGCTTACCACCACATTCCTAGTCCATTATGCCAAGATTAACCTTCCATATGGTTACTCTGGGAGAGGGCTGACATCTCTGACTAGCTCTATACTGCCATTAGCCATTTGCTAGCAGAATACTCACAGACCACAGCAAAGCTAAGCCTCCCACTATGGACTAAGCAAAAATGTGCTGGTGGATATCCTTTAAGTTGGTGTAAAGAGGGGCAAGATAAATGATCTCAGGACCTCAAACAAGCCCCTGCACAAGGATCTTTTGCCCCACGCAGCCCGGGCATTGCAGCCTGTCCTGTGACTTGGCTAACGTGTATGTCACCTGTTCCTGCTTCCCAGTGCAACGGGCCTTGCGTCGGGCCTCACCTCGCCGTGCAGCACAGACAAGTCTTCTGCCAGACCCGGGATGGCATCACCTTACCATCAGAGCAGTGCAGCGCCCTTCCGAGGTAAGAGAGAGAGCCATGGACTGCCTTTTCCCAGGCCCTGTGTCAGTAGCACGGAAAGACGGTGGTAAGTAAACCTTTCTCCTCCAACCTTCCATGGTCCCAGCGGTCAGACGCTCTGCCCTTTCACCTCCATTCTCCCCAGGTCACTGGCCTCCTAAAGGTAGATGGCTCAGTGGCGGCCTCGTGCTTACTGAATGGGCCAGGCTGGGCTTTCCCCTTTCGGAGATGGAGAGAGAATACAGAGGATGCTGTTCCTCTGAGGAGGCCTGATGGCACAAGAGACCCGTGCTGGCTACAGGGTGGGCAGGAGGTCAGGTCCACAAAGTGGGCACCAGACCCCAAGGGCTCCACCAGCCTCCCACTCTTGTCCCCCTCCCTCTAGAAGTTATGCTGAGACCCCTGTCCCCAGGTCTCAGCCTACCATTCCTATCCAGCCCCCAGCTCCTGTCATCCTTCCTTCCCTTGGGGAGAGGGCTCATCACCCACCTCACTAAGGTCCCCGCCCCTGAGAGCGGCTCTGCCATCCCCCACCCTGGTAGAGCTCATTCTCAGGTCATGCAGTGACACGGACATTGCAGAGATGAGCAGACAGAGGCCTAGTTAGAGGAAGGGGTCTTCTGAGACCCTACAGCCGTTCAGTAACAGAGCAGAGATCAGGACCCAGGGCTGGCAGCGCTGGGAGTTCTGAGAACTGTGAGTTCTCAGGGATACCTGAGATTTGGGGGTTTCCAGCACTGTTTGTACATCTGCTCCCCTGATTCAGCACCCAGAGAGGCAGACCCTAATCCTGCCACCCTCCTACCACAGGCCCGTGAGCACCCAGAACTGCTGGTCCGAAGCCTGCAGCGTACACTGGAGGGTCAGCCTGTGGACCCTGTGCACGGCGACCTGTGGCAGCTACGGCTTCCAGTCCCGGCGCGTGGAGTGCGTGCATGCCCGCACCAACAAGGCAGTGCCCGAGCACCTGTGCTCCTGGGGGCCCCGGCCCACCAACTGGCAGCGCTGCAACATCACCCCGTGTGAAAACAGTACGTTCCAACCCCACAGAGCCTTCTGCAGATTCCCCACGAGGCGTCAGGTGCAGCGGGCAGTCCCCGGAACTGAGCCTGAGCATAGGGCGGTGGACCAGCTTTCCCAAGGATCCTGAGCTAGGGCTGGAGTTGTGTATTTTCAGAGGGTGCGTGGGCGCATGCGGGCGAGCAAAGGTGCGTGCAAGGATATACGTGCACGTGTCCAGGCCACAAGAGATGGCTGGGTGTGGCCCAAGGGCTCCATCTGGCCCCTGAGACAGCCAGGTGCCTTTGGCCAAGTGCTGGATGAAATCAGCCTCCAGCTCACCTACGGTAGTTTGGCTGGTACCCAGAGGGGACAACTAAACAATGGGTCTTGGGGAGAGAGCACTGTTTGCGCCCAAGCAGCACACAGAGCACCTCCCGCTCAGCCAACCCTGCACCCATCACGGCTCTGCGTCTCACAGAACAAGGACCTGCCGACCCCCGCCCTCCTTCGCAGCCCCGTGGGCACCCACCGGTCTGTGCAGGAGCCACACCTGGGATCTGATACTCATCCACTCCCGCTTCCCTCAAGTCTAGACCCTCCTCCTTAGCCCAGCACCAGCATTTGTACCCCCACTGGGTGAGGATCTATTCTTTTCTTCCTCTGGACCCAAAACAAATTGGAGGTGCTTCTCCGCAGGGAAGGAGACAGCATGAAGCAAAGAAAAAGGGAATTTTTAGACGTTGCTGTGCAGTTTCGCCCACAAACAGGGCCACACTGAGCCTCAGATTCCCCACGCTGAGCAGATGCCATGTAGGCAAACAGTGCCGGTCCCTTTGCTACACGGGGTGGGACTGTCTGTGTCCGCTTGTGTGATGCTGGCCCATCTTTGTCAGCTCCCCGCACTCAGGGCCGCCGTTCCACGGAAGTTCAGACTCACTATATTAACCACAGGTGTCCACAGCCCCAGTCCACGCCAGTACCAAAGACCCATCAGCCTGTGCCAATACTGAACTAGGACGCCACGGCGCTCTGGTAGGCACGGTGAGGGGGAAGGGGTAGAGAGGCTCGGGAGAGAGGACGAGCAAATGAAGCTTCAGGGGGGGAAGGAAGGCTCGCGTTACAGGGGCCGAAGCCACCAGGCAGGTCCTCACTTGCACACCACCCCGAAGTGGAGCAGAATTTAGTCCTTCTGGGAGGCAGCTCAAGGAGGAAAAGCATCAATCAGTCAGACAGACACTCAAACGCCATGGGAAAAGGCCCCCCTGCCCAGGAGGTGAGGCGGTCCTGAGCGCCCTCAGGAACGAAGGGGGCTATCGGAAAGGCCGCAGAGCCCCGGTATTCGGCCCCCAGCCGCAGCCTGAGCTGCCCCCATGGTTGGCAGCCTGGGGAGCAAATGGCCAAGCTCCACCGGAGCAAGGCCAGCCCAGAGGTGCTGGGCAGTGGTGGCCCCTCCAGCACGGGCGTCTGGTGCCCAAGGCAGACCCCAGGAGGCAACCGGTGGCCACGGCTGTTACCGAGCCTCCGTTTCACCTCTCCTTTCTGTCCCCTTTCCCAGTGGAGTGCAGAGATACCACCAGGTACTGTGAGAAGGTGGAACAGCTGAAACTCTGCCAACTCAGCCAGTTCAAATCTCGCTGCTGTGGGACTTGCGGCAAAGCGTGAAGACAGGACGCGGGGAGAACGCTACCCCGGCAGCACGGAGGACTCACGCAACCACCTTGGACAGAATTTAAGCTTTCTTCGTTTTATTTATTTATTTCCCCCTCTCCACCCTCTACCACACACACCCTCATCAACCTCCTCCCTTGCCCTTCCCCCTCCCCAGACATGAGGACCCCAGCATGTCTTCTCTCTCAGTTAGCTGGAGGACAGAATGAGGGGACAGGACAAGGACGGAGGTCTAACGGAGGTTGCAGAGCAGACCGGGCCAGAGAGAAAGAGCTCCCTGGAAGAGCCAGCTCCCTCCCCAACCTGGGTCCCAGGGAGACCTAGGAAGAGGCCAGTGCAGCGCCCCCTGGGCCAGCAGGGAGCCAGAGCCAACGGTAGACGGGAGAGAGGGGCAGAAGGGGAGGGTGCCAGAGGGTTTGTGAAGCATCGGAACTGACTCCGGACAGCCAACAGCATCTCTCCTGGCAGGAGATGGTTAAGGCAGGGGAGGGAGGACACCATCCATGCTGAGAACCCATCCCAGGACTCAGCTCTTCCAGTGGGGGACACAGAGCAATGAGAACTCAAACCACGGTGGAGGTAAAGGGGAGCCAATCCAAGTAGGCCAAAAGCACACAGCGATGCAGAAAACGAAGTGGGGAAGGAAGGGACAGAAGCACAAAGAAGCCTGTGCAAGTTCCTGAGAGGGGGAGCGAAGGGGACAGGGGAGCGAGCGGTCAGCCACACGAGGCTCTGAACCCCGAGCCCGAGTGCCTGGTGTACCGGTGCAGGCTCAGGGGAGGCTGCGGTGCTCAGCTCTGCTGCCCCCAGGAAGGCAGAGCCCTGGGGCCCGGGCTATGCAGGAGGTATGCCCTCCCTGCAGCGCAGAGGGGTCCCCGAGCGAGCCACTCAGTGAACTTCTGCCCGTGCCCCCATGGCAGAGCTGGTGAGACGACGGGGCCTAGCTGCACAGTCAGGCCACCCCTGGCGTCTCCGAATCAAGCATCCCCCAGCCCGGAACGAACTGCTGACCTGGGCCAGGGTGTTTCGCTCATGAGTAGGCTGGGTTTCCTGCCTATATGGTTTTTACTGCTCCACCTGAGGGCCAAGGACTGGGGTCAGCTGGCCAAAAACCAACCCACTATTCAAGTTGCCAGAGTATCCATCAGATGAGAGCGACCGGGACACCGGTGGAACCGCAGGCTTGCGTGGGCCCCTCCCGGGGCACGGTGACGGCTGCCCTGTATTCACACAACAGGCCGGGGCGGGGCGATGGGGCACAGAGGCAAAGCCAAAGGATAACTAAAGCTTCCCAGACGCTCCTCAAAGGCTTTTCAACCCATTCCCTCCACACAGTGAAATACTGTGAACTCTTACCAGAATTAATATACAATTGGTTTGGCTAACTCAGTGGGCAAAGCAGCATACACACTCCAGTAATGCCCGTCAGCTACAGTAACGGGGCGGCAGCAAAGTGGCGAAACTGAAAATTTGGGACATCGTGGCTCATGGTCAATGAAAGTGCTCACTCAGCAGGGTCGTTTAGGAGTGAGTGATTTTGGCCTGCGCCCCCCAATCCCAGTGGCCACAATTTAGTAGCAGCTGGGGCAGAGCAGGGTGGCCGGAGTCACTCACCCCTCAGCCAAACCGCCCCCTCACATACAGACTCGCAAAACGTCACACACCCCGGGGCCACCACTGACATCAGGGCTGCATTTTCTAGCCAGCCTGGAAGTACAAGTTAGTGGGGGAGACATTATGCTTTGTGTTCTCCCCAGGTGAGCTATGGACAGTTAAGGTAGTTCTTTCTTCCTCACCACAATAATGGGCTCTAAGAAATCATGTTCCTAAAAATCAGTGTAATGTTTATTTAAAATAAAAGAGAATGTTTTCTATGTCTGTATATCTTTTGTGAATATTTATTAGGATTTCCTGTATAAAAAAGTGCAATATTAATAATTGTACATTGTCTTCCAGGAAAAAAAAAAAATATATATTTGGGGGACTTTTTATTAACTTCCTGCAGTTGTGTTCCTGTAAACTCAGTGGTGATTATTGTATTGTTCCTATTTTTAATAGAACCTGATGTTTAACTCTGGATCCATTCGCTATGTACAGAATACATTGTAAAAGCTAGCACAGGATGACAGGGCAATAAGAGGGGATTCGTTTGTGACACAGTACTTATGCATGGAATGTGCAAGACAGATTCCATACTACTACTAATGTGGCTGATAATATCTAGCTCAATAGCTATGGAAAACCGGTGGCCAATATTTACATTTCCTAAATAGCAGGTGTCCTCCAGCTCCATCACGTGTCGGGTTGTAGCAGGTGGAGGTGGGTTTCAGAGCGAGCTTGGAGGACCTAGGTTTGGGGCGGGCAGCAGCGTGCTCCTTGCATGAGATGAATGTACATTTACTGTCTGTTCTGTGAATTGTGACTCAGCAGCACCAGAAGATTATTAGGGCTGCTGAAGAATGTGGAAGGAGGCACTTCCTCCTCTAAAACACAAAACTCTGTTTATATTTTTTGTACAGATAATACAGCTTATTTATTTAAATCTTGTCGTCCGAGTCTCTATTAAGCTCAGCCTTCCTATCTTGTTTTGGGCAGGGGGGTGAGGCTGGTTCCCAGTCACTTATGTGAGTTTGGCTAAAATGGAAGAATCGCAGTTTTCAGCTTTGCATGGGAAGCTGTGGGCCATGAACCCAGAAGAGCTAGATGTGCACAAATTGAGGCTTAGTGCTGTCTTTGACAATCATCTCATTTATGACCCCATGTGTCAGCAGACCTCGGAGATATTGAGGATTTGGTTCCAGACCACTGCAGTAAAGCAAATATCACAATAAAGGAATTCCCACGAAGTTTTTGGTTTCCCAGTGCATATAAAAATTATGTTTCCACTATACTGTAGTCTATTAAGTGTATAATAGCATTATGTCTTTAAAATCAATGTACATAGGGCTTCCCTGGTGGCGCAGTGGTTGAGAGTCCGCCTGCCGATGCAGGGGACACGGGTTCGTGCCCCGGTCCGGGCAGATCCCACATGCCGCGGAGCGGCTGGGCCCGTGAGCCATGGCCGCTGAGCCTGCACTTCTGGAGCCTGTGCTCCGCAACGGGAGAGGCCACAACAGTGAGAGACCCGCGTGTCGCGCAAAAAAAAAAAAACAATGTACATACCTTAAGTAAAAATACTTTTTTGCTAGAAAATGCTAAAGATCACCTGAGCCTTCAGCAAGTCATAGTAGTAACATCAAAGATCACTGATCACGGATCACCATAGCAAATGTAATCATGATGAAAAATTTGAAATATTGTGAGAATTAACAAAATGTGACACAAAGACACAAAGTGAGCGAATGTTGTTTGAAAACGGGCGCCAAGAGACCTGCTCAGGGTGGGGTTGCCACAAACGTGCCATTTGTAATACACACGGTATCTGCGATCCACAATAGAGCAAAGCACGATGAAGCGTGGTACATGCCTGTAGAGGGAAGAAGGGAGCCACGGCACCGTCAGGAGGAAGAGCGAGTGCAGGCATCTCAGGGGTTGGGGGGGGGGGGTGTGCGCAGACTCGGAGCAGGAGGGGTCTCACTCCCGGTCAGGCTTCCTGCCCCCGAGGGCACGCACCGCGTGCAGCGGCTGCGTGCTGAAATCCTAGGTGTGCGCCCTTGTCGGGGCTCCCATCTATAGATCATTCCTACATTCAATCCTCACATGCACCCTATGATCATCGCCATTGACATGTGGGTAGACAGAGACCCACAGAAGCCCAAGGTCACCCAGAATTCAAACCTGAGCAGCCTGGCTTTTTAGCCAGAGCCTTGCTGTTCCCCACTATGCTGGCCTCAGCTCCTCTGCGTGCAAGCCGAGCAGCTGTGGCCGCCCAGGTGCGGGCACCTTTCTCTCCTACTGCTCAGAGGTTGGGAGAAGACGATGGCGGGACTTTTAATGGAGTTGTTGCTTTCTCACCCCCTAAAATCAATTCTCATGGCATCGGAGGGCTCCTAGCTCCCCCTACTTTTAAAGCATTTAATAAAGCTACTATAGAGAGTGCAGAAGAAAACAAAAGCATACTTGTAGAGTTCTTTATAAACAGGCTCTGGTGAAAGGGCAGCGTGTCCCCAGACCCGGAAGATGTCCACACAGGAACCTTTGTGTGAGATACGCTCCAGGGACCCCAGCCTGAAAGCCCAACTCCAGCCTGTTTCCAGCAACTCACCCCAGCACGTGACACTCTACTGAACAGTGTAAAAATATGCCAGAAAGCTCTTCTTGACATTCTAATTATTTTCTAAGGAGTGGTGGGGTTTGCGTTAAAGAAAAGACCGATGCTAGCGCTATAAATACTCACATACCAGCAACCAAACAATGTTTCACAGAGACCCCCGCGGAGGGTTGGGGGGGAAGGAGTCAGAGACGCCAGAGCGAAAAGCCAGGAAGGCTCAAAGGGTGGGAAGGGCTCAGACAGAACGTACGGAAAATCTTCCAGCCAAAATCACAAAGCTCAGCAGGCGAAAAAGAGAGATTCTGACCAAGATGCCACCAACCACAGTGTAAAAGTTTGGAATCTTAACCATGAGCCAGTCCTAGGATTGTAACTCCTCATGCGAGAGTGCCCTGCTTGGCCTCAGAAGTTTCCAGGACTTTGACAAGATGAGCTCAGAAAATCTGTGGGCCCATCGAGACCAGACTGATCAACAATCACCAGAGCTCACTCATGTCCCAGCTTCCTCACCTTTGAAGAGAGGATACCTCATGGGATAGGGCTGTTGTAAAGAAATGGTTCATTCCTGTCGAGGAAATAGAATGTCATGGCATTTTCTAGCAATGCCATTTTCTAGGAATGGCATGACGTGCCTGGCATGTCACTGAAACATTCACTGAATGTTAATTGCTATTATCATCATCCAGGCTACCTTAGAGAGATGGGGAGATGACATGACGGGCAGGGCTGGCAGAACGTTTGCTATGTCACGTTACTTCCCATTGTCAGCTTTCTGAGACCCTCG